CGTTGGCATTATTCATGATCTCTTCCCTTTCATTCATGATTTTATTAATTTGGCTCTTTTCTTTTGGATAAGTCTGGCCAAAGGTTTATCATTCTTATTAGTTCATTCAAAGAACCAGCTTCTAGTTTTGTTGATCTGTTGATCTGTTTTTCTGGTTTTTATTTCATTGATTTCTGCTCTAATCTTTATTAATTCTCTTCTCCTGCTGGGCTTAGGCTTTATTTGCTGTTTTTTCTCCAGCTCCTTTAGGTGTAAGGTTAGCTTGTGCATTTTAGATTTTTCTAATTTTTTGAGAGAGGCTTGGATGGCTTGTACTTCCCTCTTAGGACTGCCTTTGCAGTAGCCCATAGGTTTTGAGTCAATGTGTTTTCATTCTCATTAGTTTCAATGAATTGTTTAAGTTCTTTAATTTCTTGGTTGACCCATTCATTCTTTAGCAGGATGCTCTTTAACCTCCAGGTGTTTGAGTTTCTTCTAAATTTCTTCTTGTGATTTGTGGTCTGAAAATATGCAGGGAATAATCTCAGTCTTTTGGTATCAGTTGAGACCTGATTTGTGACCCAGTATGTGAACTGTTCTGGAGAAAGTTCCATGTGCACTTGAGAAGAATGTGTATTCTGTTGTTTTAGGATGGGATGTTTTGTATATATCTTTGAAGTCCATCTGGTCTAATGTGTCATTCAAAGCTCTTGTTTCTTTGTTGATCTTCTGCTTAGATGATCTGTCCATTGCTGAGTGGAGTGTTGAAATATTCTACTATCATTGTATTATTATTGATATGTTTCTTTACTTTGGTTATTAATTGGTTTTTATAATTGGCTGCTCCCACGTTGGGGGCATAGATATTTATAATTGTTGAGCTTCTTGTTGGATAGACCCTTTAAGTATGATATAGTATCTCTCTACGTCTCTTACTACTGTCTTTGGTTTGAAGTCTGATTTGTTTGATATGAGGCTTGGTACCCCAGCTTTCTTTTGAGGTCCATTAGCATGGTAAGTAATTCTCCATCCCTTCACTTTCAATATGGAGGTGTCTTTAGGTTCAAAATGAGTCTCTTGTAGACAGCGTATGGATGGGTCCTGCTTTTTTACCTAATCTGATATTCTTTGTCTTTTAATTGGAGCATTCAGCCAGTTTACATTTAGAGTAACTATTGAAAGATACATATTTAGTGCCCTTGTATTGCCTGTAAAGTCCCTGTTTCTGTAAGACTGTCCCTGTTACTTTCTGGTCAATGTTATTCTTGGGGTCTCTCTTCGCTTACAGTATCCCACTTAATATTGCAGGGCTGGCTTTGTGGTCATATATTCTTTCAGTTTCTGTCCATCCTAGAAACTCTTTATACTCCTTCCATTCTGAATGATAGCCTTGCTGGATAATGTATTCTTGGCTGAATTTTCTTCTCATTTAGTACCCTGAATATATCTTGCCAGCCCTTTCTGGCCTGCCAGTTTCTGTGGATAGTTATGATGTAATTCTGATGTTTGACCCTTCGTAGGTAAGAAATCTGTTCCCCCTAGCTGCTCTCAGGATAGCTTCCTCAGCTGTAAGATTTGCAAGTTTCACTATTATATGTTGGGGTGTTGATCTATTTTTATTGATTTTGGAAGGAGTCCTCTCTGCCTCTTGGATGTGAATTCTTGTTTCCTTCCCCCAATTATGGAAGTTCTCAGCCATGATTTGCTCAAATATACCTTTTAGCCCTCCCCCCCACCCTCTCTTGGAGACTGATGATCCTGATATTGGTTCTTTTCAATGTATCATTAAATTCTCTAAGTCTCTCTTCATGTGCTATGAGTTGTTTTTCTCCCTTTTCTTCAATTTCCTTCCTTTCCATCAGCCTGTCTTCTAGATCATGGTGATTATTCTCTCTTCTGCCTCACTTACCCTAGCTGTTAGAGTATCCAATTTAGACCGCATCTCATTCATAGCATTTTTATGTTTGACCTGATTAGATCTCATTTCTGCCCTTAGAAATTCCATATTGTCACGTATGCTCTTTTCAAACCTAGTTATAAGCTTTATAATTGCTATCCTGAATTCTATCTCTGACATCTTGCTTATATCAATATCTATTAGTTCTGTGGCAGAGGACATTGTCTCTGGTTCTTTTCTTTGTTGAGAGTTCCTTCTCCTAGTCATTCTGTCAAGAGATGGTTGAGTGAATGCTGAGTCCAACATATTAACAACCCAAGCAAAATGCACCCTAGAAAAAATCCGAGGTCGTCAGAAGCTACCACAGATATGGAAACAAAGCCAAGATGATCCAAAACAATATAAAAGGGGTGGGGGAGACTATAATTTCTCAGGGTGGACAAAGCAGGGTGATCTACCTGCTTGTGACTGATTTTTGGTCTGTGTGTTAGAAGATACTATATCTCAAAATTGCAAAGAAATCAGAACTTCATATATAGAGAGAGTGAAAAACAGACTAGTGTGGAGCATAAATCTATAAAACATAGATATGAAAAAAATGAAAGTTAAAAAGCAACTTAAAAACATAATTTGGGAAATAGAATCTATTTGAAATGGGAACAGGGTAAAAAAAAAAAAAGAAAAAGAAAAGAAACAAAAAAGAAATGTAAAATTTTAGCCTGAAGTATAAGTGAGTCATGAGGGAACACCTGGAGCTCCCTATATTATTTCCCCTGGCGCTGGAGTTCTCCTTTGAGAAATAAGCTTATCATTCACCTGTTTTTCCAGTCTGTCTTCTGGAGGAGGGGCCTGCTGCTCGGCTTCTCAGGTGTCTTTGCTTGGGTGGAGTTGCCCCACCCCTTGTCAGAGGTATGGGCTTAATGTGAGCTGGTCCTCTGTGTGACTTTTGTCCCTTTCTCTTCTCTTTCCACTTCTCTTTGGAGGGTCAGAGCAAATATGGCCATGTGGGAATCTCTGGCCTAGAGGCACAAGGTCGGGGTTCCTTTTCTTCAATAAACCCTCCAGGTCAAACCATCTCCACTTCTGTGTGTACCAAACTCCACAGACTCATGCTATTCGCACCTGCTGCAACTCTCCTGGGGGAGTTCCAGAGACCTAAGGCCATCTCTGTGCTTTGTGCCTTTGCAATTGCTAGTGGCCATGGGCTTGCACATGCACCCTCTTCCACAGCTCCCAGGTCATGTCTGGGTGCCCCCTGCTGTCCTTTCAGGGGCCACACTGCCCTGAGAGCTGTTGCTCAGTGGTGGGTACAAGCCACTTCATATATCCCCTGGGATGCGCCGTCTAGTCCTTTTGAGGGTGGTCAGGCAGAGAGTGGTCTCCCTACTGGCCCAGCTCAAGGTTTATGGTGACCGGAGCTGAGTCCCTTCTGGGTTTACTGACCATAACCAGTCTCCCTGCTCCACTGCTTGCACACTCTATCAGTTCAGACTCCCCCGTTCTTTCTGAGTCTCCTGGGATCCTGAGACCACAATGATCCACCTAGAATTCTGCCCTATTGATCCCATGCCCTTTTCAGAAAGGGATGTCTCTCACTGGAGCAGATTTCTAAAGGTCCCGATTTTGTGCTCCAGTGTTATATCACTTTCTGGTGGCCGGCTTATGAAGGCCCCCTCCCCCCTCCATTTATCTTCTGATATTTCCCCCAAAGATTCAAGGTTCTGCACCTCCTACCTTGCAAAAAGTAGTCATTTTTCTGCTTGTAGAGGTCCAGATAAATTTTCTTACATCTCAGGTTGAATTCATGTGTGTTCAGAATGGTTTGATAGATATCCAGTTACATTTGAGGGACCAGATGAAATGAGGTCCCCTACTCTGCCACCATCTTGCCCCTCCCTCTTGATACTCTCATTTTTGTTCATGCATCATTTCCTGATTTTTTTTTTTTTTTGGTAGTTGTCTATCTGTGTTCTCTTAGAGCTCATTGACCATTTAAAAGAAGGTTATTTTAAATTATTTTTCAGGTAATTCATAGATTTCTGTTTCTTTAGAGTCAGTTTCTAGAGATTTTTGTTTCTTTGATTGTGCCATATTTCCCTGTTGCTTCATATGCTATGTTATATTTTGCTGAAATTTGGGCATTTGAAAGAATGGGCACCTCTCCCATTCTTTATAGACTGGCTTTGTATGGGGGAAGACCTTTACCAATCAGCCTGGCTAGAGATTCTGGAGGCCTTTAAAGTGTTTTCTGGAGATGTGTCTTCTGGGCTTGTACATAGGATTTCCCAGCTAGAGAGGTTTGCCTATTTCTTTTTCTGAAGTTCATAACCTCTTGTTTCCTCTGATGTCTATCTGAATTGCAGGTTCTCAGGTGCTGCAAGAAGCTACTGAGTTCTCCTTCGTTTTCAGTGTCCCTCAGATATCCAAAGTATGTCAGCTCCCTGTCAGTGTTCCAAATTGGGTTAGACAGAAACCAGTCCTTGGTAGCACTTGAAAAGGTGGATAGCATGGAGGACATTAGGAGAAGAAAGAGAAAAATGAAGTGGGGGATGGGAATTGGAGGGAGAGATGAACCATGAGAGACTATGGACTCTGAGAAACAAATAGGGTTTTAGAGGGGAGGGGGGAGGGGGATTGTTTAGCCTGGTGATGGGTATTAAGAAGGGCACGTACTGCAGGGAGCACTGGGTGTTATACGAAAACAATGGATCGTGGATCACTACATCAAAAACTAATGATGTATTGTATGGTGACTAACATAACACAATAAAATTTTAAAAAAAAGAAAAAAAAGAAAAGAAAAGCACACTCTGGAATGTTACTCTTTCTTTCCTTCCTGAGAGAGAAGCCATGAGTTGAGTATTTTATCCTGATCAAGCTGAGCTGTGCCAGCTGGGTGAAAGGGTTATCTTGGATAAAAGGCAATGGCTTTTCTTATTCATTTCAACACCACTATTCTTGCCTGTGCACTAGCTTGGAGTACTGTAATTTCTTAACTATTTTCTGGAGTTCCCAAAAAGACTCTTTGTACCATTTACTTCTGTTAAGTTGGTGTCTCTGTTGGGGGAATCAGGTCTGGGGCTTCCCATTCTGTCATCTTGTTGATGCCACTCCTAACTGGAACACTTTTGAGAGGGAACTTAATTTACTGTAAGGTTGGCAGCCCTGAGAACTCCTTTTTTTAATGTAGCATGTAATGGGTGTATTCCTGCTCCCCAAAGAATGAGGAGCAGACGAGAGTGAACTTAATTTATATATAATATATAACTCAACTGGGACACTTTTGAGAGGGAGTGGTTAAAATTATTAAAATTATATAATTTTCGGAATTTATTAACTATGTAAGATATTGGCTTTGTTACACTGGTAGGCCTATAAAACAGTTCTATTTAAAAATATTTGCAAAAAAACATTTGCAATAGAAGTATATACTTATGTATGTTAAGCCAAAATATCATTACTACAAAAGCCAAGTAAATTTATCTTGAATGTTGAAATTTTAAACTGAATTACAATGGCATTCACAATAATGAGAGCTGTTTCACTTTCATCATAATGAACTTCTAACCTTGATTCCCTGCAATAGAAGAAAACAATGAATTTTTATTGGACTCATCCTAAATGACTTTCTCTCTGAAGTGTCTAAAGGCTTTGAAGTAAAACTGACGTAATTTAACACTGAGAAGTTCTTCTTCTGCTATTGGAGCCAACATATTGGTAGTTCTCACTTTACTTTTGTACATGCAAAAAACACTTAGAATTGAAAATGAGCAAAATAATTTATAAGTTTGCTCCAAATGAAGTCATGCTTTATCTGGAAATATATAAGTACTAACTCCTGAAGCTACATGTGTTAAATCTGCTTCTTTGGGCACAGTTTTTACATAACAACTGCTAACTTTTTATAGAAGGAATTACATTGTCCTTTTTTTAAAAGTAATCATTCTGTTGAAGTGTAATTTATGTAATCCACAGGAAAATGCACAGATTGTAAAGTGTAGAGCTCAATAAACACTTTGAATCAAGAAATAGAACATTAACACCACCCCATTCTCCCACAATTATACATCCTTCTTCCCCAAGGGTAATCATTATCCTGATACCTAGCACTGTCATTTATGTTACTTACTTTTAAACTTCACATAAATGGCTTTTTTTTTTTTTTTTGCCTTTGACTCCTTTGCCTCAATATTGTATTTGTGAAATTCATCCATGTTTCATATAGCAAGAGTTTCTCTCTTTTCTTTGCTGCAAAGTATTCTTGTGTGTGAATGCCACAATTTATTTAGCTGTTTTACTAAATTTCTATTTCTTTTCAGTTTTGACTATTATGAATACTTTTGTACCTTTTGGGGTGCTTATGTACTCATTTTTGTTGACTGTATGACCAGTAGTATTAAAGCTGAACTGTGTGTTCAGCTTTAATAGATACTGCAAAACAGATGTTCTGCATCTGGATTGCTTGAACTCTATTTCCTGTACACATTTCACATATATTTCACGTGTAATTTCCCATATTTCCTGCTGGAGGCCCAGGAGCTTCAGACATCTCAGGGGCTGGGGTATAGGCCACTGCATAATTAGTTGATACACAGTTGCCATTGAAGACAGCAGCATGGAATACTTCCCTCTTCCAATTTCTTTGTAGGGAAGGGGTAAACTTGGTTAGCCCCTCCCCACCCCCAAAGCCTAGGAGGCAAGGAGTGGTGGGCAAGAGAATTGCTAGTAAGTAAGAGGGTATCTGGAGATTGGCACTTTCTTTCCAAGTTGCTCTTTGTCATGGTCTTGTTGACCTGCTCTCACCTGAGAAGGGGAAAGATCAGGAAAGAGGTCTGAGAATACATGTGTATGATAATGCAGGCAAGGAAGGAAATTTGTGTTTCCAAATATGTACAGAAAATGGATCTGGCCCATTTCCATATACTGCAGAATTGGGACCATGGAGTGTAGTTGAAATTTGGGGTTGCAGGCTTGCTGTTCCAGTGGGTGACAAAGGGGCATGCACATCAGAAGAACATGGTATGAGGCCTCCAGCTGGAAAATATGGCTGAATCTCCCAAGGGACTACCAAACCTAGACAAATTACTTGGGATAAACTCCTCATCAGTAAGCCTGTTGGGCACTGGTTCCCCACACCATGTCTATGGACAGCAAGCTTGATCAGTGGTGATGATAAAAGAAAGGATACATCAGCATTGCCTGGGATGTTCCATAACCAGATGTCTTTTTTTCTGACCCCTCTGGGGTTAGACTCAAAAGAAGGGAAATTGCAGGGAAGGAGGATGTGCTGTGAAAGGAAATCCCCACATGCGCCACCTATACCTGCCTAAAGCTGTAAGTCTAGTTGCAAGGTAGTTAAGGGAGTGTCTATGAAATAAGTGATTGATATTTAAAAATAAACAGAACTTCGTAAACAAAACCATTCTGTTATGTAACTGGAAGGGACAGCAAATTATGGAGTAGGGCAGAGATGATAGTAGGGGTCCTGCTATCCATTAAAAGGAGGATTAGCAGAGCAGAATTAAAAATATTTATTAGAAAAATAAAATAGTTCTGTGTTTACACCCAAGTTGTTGAGGCTGCTGAATCAAATCAGTTACAAAACCTGACATAAATTACTTGGCTAATGTCACCTGCACAAAGAAGACAAGGTCTGCATCTGTTTTTGGCCCCCACTATATCCCTATGCTTAGCATAGGGCCTGGGACATGGCAGATGATGGTTCAATATTTGGTGAATGGGTGACATGAATGATTTGTTTTTCTCATTACCACTATTTATGTTCTAACGAAAAAGTTGCACAAACTCCTAATGATAATTAAATGCTTTTTGAAGGCGATCATTTGTGAAAGTATAATACCGTAACATTCAATTTGCAACGTCTTTTGAAAAATCTAGCATTGTGTCTAGAGTTAAAGGAGTAGTTAAAGTAAGAGTTACAGAGATTCTGCTTTTCAATTGGAAACTAGTATTAGTCAATCTATAACTTTAACTTATTACCTAAATTGAGAAAAAACTGAACAGAAAAATGGGATTAGCAAATAAAACAAATACTTTATTTTATATGTCTACAAGCTTCTTTCCAAATTGGTTTACTTTGCAACCAGGAGCAGATTGGGTTATTAAAAGTTGCCTATTGCTACTCAGTTTGAACTTTATGGTTTATTACACTGAGAAAGATTTCTTCCAAGAAAATCCAGTTACTAATGGCATAAATAATGGTGGGTTCCAGCCAATACCAGAATGGGCAGTATAATTGGCTAGGCTAAAACTTTTATCTGTTCAAGGTTAGTGTGATCCAGGAATCCACCTACTTTTTTGGGTTTGGAATACTATTTGGGGCATTGAATTACTTATTTATAAGTTAATTATTTTAATTATATGGCATGGACTCCAGGATGTTTTTACAGCAAGGTTCATAACAAGTCACTTATATTCATTTTTTAAAATAATCTATTAGGGGCCTATACTAGAACAAACAAGCAACATTTCTCTTTTTTATGTTTAATAAACCTTTTATTTTAGAACAATATGGGTGCAAAGAATTCCCATATATTTTGCACCCAGGTTCCCTATGGTTAACATCACTTATTTATTTATTTATTTACTTTTAACATATAATGTATTATTTGTTTCAGGGGTACAGGTCTGTGATTCATAGTCTTACACAATTCACAGTGCTCACCATAGCACATGCCCTCCCCACTATGGTTAACATCTTGCATTAGTATGATACATTTACAATAATTAATGAACCAGCATTATGTTATTATTAGCTTAAATCCATAATTTATTCAGAAATCTGAATAAATTATGTTAATTACCTAATGCTCTTTTTTAGTTAATTACCTAATGCTCTTTTTCCTTTCCAGGTTCCCATTCAGGATACCACATTTTATTTATTTATTTATTTAATTTATTATTTGCTTTATTTATTTGAGAGAGACAGTGTGTGCACAAGGAGGGGAAGCAGCAGAGGGAGCGGGAGAAGCAGGCTCCCCACTGAGCAGGGAGCTCCAACGGGGCTCAATCTCAGGACCCTAGGATCATGACCTGAGCAGAAGGCAGACACTTCAACTGACTGAGCCACCCAGATGCCCCACCACATTACATTTAATTGTCATATCTGCTTAGGCTCCCCTTGGCTGTGACAGTTTCTCCAACTTTCCTTGGTTTTGAGGACTTTGACAATTCTGAGGAATATTCATCAGGTATTTTGTAGAATATCCCTCGTTTGGGATTTTTTTTTATTTTTAGAGAGAAAAATCTGGGGAGAGGGGCAAAGGGAGAGAGAGAATCTTAAATAGGCTCCATGCCCAGGGAAGAGCCTGATGCAGGGCTTGATCTCACGACCCTGTTATCATGATCCGAGCTGAAATCAAGAATTAGACATTTAACTGACTGAGACTCCCAGGCACCCCTCATTTGGGACTTTTCTGATTTCTTTTTTTATTTTATTTTATTTTATTATGTTATGTTAGTCACCATACAATACATCATTAGTTTTTGATGTAGTAAAATCATGACTAGACTTGAGTTAGGTGTTTGGGGGAGGAAGGCCACAGAAATAAAGGGCCATTCTCATCACATCATATCAAAGGTACATACTATCAACATGTTTTATTGCTGTTGATGTTGACTGGACCACCTGCTTGATAATAGTATTTATTAGTTTTCTTTACTGTAAAGTTACTTTCTCCCATTTCCATACCATACTCTTTGGAAGGAAGTCAGATTTACCTTCATTTGAGGGCAGCTCAGATTTCTTTAAAATTCCAGTTTTATATTAATTTTATTCTGGCATTACCTTCTGGATCATGTCATACATGGGTATGCACTCATGTACAAATGTTCACACACAAAATCTCTCTTCTTTCTTGTCTCTACACAAAGAAATCCATAAAGGTCTACACAGAGAGATCTCAAAAGTCAAAATCCTGGCTACCAATAAAATCTTCTCTCGGGATACCTGGGTGGCTCAGTCCTTAAGCGTCTGTCTTCAGCTCCGGTCATGATCCCAGGGTCCTGGGATCGAGTACCGCATCGGGCTCCCTGCTCAGTGGGGAGCCTGCTTCTCCCTCTCCCTCTGCAGCTCCCCCTGCTTGTGCTCTCTCTCTCTCTCTGACAAATTAATAAAAATCTTAAAAAAAAAAATCTTCTCTCTATGCCAGAAGCTTATCAAAGACTATACACTGAAACCAGAGATTTGAAAGGGAAGGTTTTTTTCTTTTTTTTCTTTTTAGTTTTTATTTAAATTCTA